AAAAAAAAAAAAAAAAAAAAAGTATGTAAAACAATTAACATTTCATTAATCAAAAAAAGAGAAATTAATTGGGATTTTTGTTTTAACACAGCAGAACTCAAGCCCTTTCTTATAGCCTTTAAATTTCCTTCTAATCTTCCAATAAAAATCACTTCTAGGCAGTTAGTTCATTTCTTGTATATATTTATCAATTTTTGTTCCTTCCCCACTCAAGCATGCTGACATCCAGTACCCAGAAACATTTCTCAAGAGGGATAAGTTCCTATTTATCCACTTATAACTTTCTCCTCAATGTTCTAATTCAAGTCCATTTTTTTCACAAGTTTGAGTTGACATAAAATATTGTAGTTTGAGCACTAATTAGCCCACATAATGACTTTTAAAAAAGTTTCCTAAGTAGTCTTTGGTTTTCTACATACCAACTCATTCTGCACATTGTTAACAAGTAGATCAATTTAAAATGCTATTTTATTTTTTTTCAATGAATAATTATTGAGCATGTACAATATTACTTATGTGTTGAGCACAAAGATCTATAAAGAGGAACTGATTTGCCCAAGATTACCATTAGCTAGTGAGCATAGTCCAGACTGGAATCCAGGTCTCCTGAATCTCAGCCCTGGATTCTTTACAAAGACATTCACAGCCCTACACAATCTGGCCCAGCCTTACCTATACAACTTCCCACTATTATCTTAAAATACTGTTTTCATCATCTCTCCTTTGCACAAGGACCCCTCTTCTCATGGGACTGAGTTCAAACTTCTTCTGATATTTATGAATGCTGCCAGTCTGCCCTGCTCTCATCTTTCTAGTCCACAATTGTCCAAAATGGACCTTCCACTTGTCAGGCAGATCTTTCCCCCTGCTTTTCACAACATGCTGTTTTTACTGTCATCTCTTACAAATGCTGTGTCCCCAAACTTGACACCTTCACCTAAATTTTGCTCATACTAAGGTCAACCTCAAGTTCTATGACCCCCCAGAAGCTGCCACTTTAGCCTGCACTGACCCATCCTCTTTGAATTCAGACAGGAATCAATCCTTGCTTCTTGTAGTTTCAGTACTGTGTTGCCTCACTATCACTGGGCGGGTCACTCTCTTGTGCAATTACAATCATATTAAAAAAAAAAAAAAGACCTATTATTTGAACAATATTATAAAAATTCAGATAATTTCAAAAACTTGATTAGAATTCCTTCAAAATCAACCTTAAAAACTCAACAGCTATCAGTCAATAAACAAAAAAATAAGGACAGAGGTGGCTGATCTCTTCCCCACTGCAAACTAGGTTCCCCACTGCAACACAAGGTTGACATGAGCCTCCTGTGAGTGATCTGCTCCCAACACATTCAAGAAAGCGAATTAGCCTGTAAGGAAATGAAGTGTTTATACAGAAACAGACCTGATTCCACTCAAATTTATTTACTTAAAAATAAATCATTTTGAAACTCTGGTACTTTCACTACTTTTCCTAACAAATCACTTGCTACTCATACCTCCTAGCTAATGGTTTTGTGTTACAACAACACAGGTAAAATTGATTTCAGAGACAATCCAACCAGCTATTGCATATCAATTATCATGCTAATGCTAAGGTTTTACAGAAACAAACCTATTTGTACTTACTTCAAGGATAGCTTTACTTTAGGTTTAAAATAAGGTGCATTCTGGTCTGCCAAAAAGACGATTAAATCATTTCCTAAAAGAAACAAATATATGATATTAGAAAAATGTCTTCTGGTTAGACATCCAATCAGTGGTTACGAGAAGCCTTCTGGGCACTGGTATCAACAAGAAAACTTTTACTCTACCCCAGTTCTTCTGCGTGCTCAAGGATAGTCCCACCAGCCTAATAGGGCCACCTAACTATATATCACAAGTTCAATGTTCAAAGCAGCAGAGAAATAAGAAAGATCAACACGGGAAAATGTAGTTGATCAAGATAGACTGAAGCCAATGTGTATGGATTTTGCCAGGAGTCAGACTAGTTGACTTAAAAGAACCATATAAAGAACATGCCTTATAACTATATGTCAAGCCTTGTCTTCCCTAAAGTTAACAACGCTGCCCCTTACAGGGCTGTTTAGTTCATCACACAGATGCATCACACCAAAGATGCAGGAACTCCCATTGTACACATCTGATGACAAGGACAAAAGCATGCAAGCAGAAAATGCTGAATCCTCCAAGACACTCCTCCTGTGGCTCCTATGGAACCATCCCCCAGGTTAATGCACTGCTGAAGTTCAATTTGCACTCATTGGAATGACCTTTGAAATTGTTCAATCAAACACAGGCCATCTTTAAAGTCAAGGAGATTCTCTGTACCCAGTTTGGATGGAGTAGCTATAGGTTTGGCAGTATGTTGCAAAATGGGGAGTCACACAAACATTGGGAAAATATCCTGGGTCCACAAGAGGCTCTGGGGTCCTGGCAAGGGCCCTAAGAAGTCTGGTTCAGGATTCTATCAGTCAAGCTCTGAGTCTGCTCTACACTTCCTCTTCCTTCCTTCATGGCCTTGACCTTTAAGAAGCACCTACTTCTGTGGGTACTCAAGAATGCTAAGACTCCCTAATGCCCACTGTCAGCATCGAGACCATCTAAGATTAGTTTAGTGATGGTCAAAGCAAAGAACTTCTAAGAACCAAAAGTTGGCAAAGAAAGCAGAAATCTAGAGGACTAGGGTGGTGACCAAGGTGAGGAAGGCGTACACAAAAGAATAGGCAATTCAGGAGGGAGGAGAGTCTGCTGTTTGAGAATGCTTCCCCAAGGAGGCTCTGGGTTATCAGAGGTCCCTGCAAAATGCTTGTGCAAGCTGTTTAGTGTTTAGGGCCTTGGAAGGGCACAATAGCTTCAAAGAAAGCTGGTACCTTGACAAAAGGAGGGAAGGTAAATTAGGTAAGTGGGGAGGCAAGGAGAAGTTCCCTATGAGAAAAAACTATCAAGCTGCATGTTTTCCTGTTCATCGAAGGGGAAGGAAGATTGAAGTAAAGCAGAAGAAAAAGAAAAGGCCTTGGGAGCGAACGTAGAGGCAAGCTACAAAGACTTCTGGGAATCAGAAAGGACTTGGGGTGGCAGGTGATTCCATCGGGAGGAGGTGGTGCGTGGGTGAAAGCAGAGGGCTTCTCTGGAAAAAAACTGGGGTGCTGTCATGGCTTTTGGGGGTAGGTCAAACTGTTAGGAGGCCAGGTCAGGACCTGAGGTTGGAAAAGGTGGAGAAAAAGGGCAAGCTGTTAAGAATGCTGGAGATAAAGGAAAGGTCACAAGGCTGGGAGAGAATGACTGGGAAATTCTGGAGAACCGGCCATCGGGCAAGGGGTGTGGGGAACACCGGGAGGGGCACACGGACAGCGGACAGAGGGAGGGCCCGGCAAGCACTGACTTTCCCGCAGCACGAAGAGGTCCGTCTGCTTGTCGGAGTTGAGGTCTCCGAAGGCCGCCAGGGTGCCCCAGGCCTCGGCCCCAAAGAGCTCGCCTGTGACGTTGTGCAGCGCCCGCGCCGGGACCGGCCCGACTCCCAGCAGCGCGAGCCCCGCAAGGAGCGGCGCCAGCAGCGCCCAAGACCACGGCAGCCGGCACGCCGCCGCCATGGCAGCCCCTCGGCCCCCGCCCGCCGGCCCAGCGCCGCGCTTGACGGCAGCCGCAAAGCACGGCGCCGCCGGCTGAGAGAAAAGGCGCTCAGCCCCGGTGCGCGTACGAGCCGCCGCCGGCTCCCCTCTCACTCTCCCCTAGGACCGCTCTTCTGACGCTAGAGAGGCCGTGGAGCCAGGGTCAAACTCGCTTTCGCGCTCACTTCCGGCCGGCGCGCCTCTCGACAGTGTCGCGCGGGGGGCGGGGCCTGGCGGGGCCGGGAGGGCGGTAACAACAGGCAGCCCCGGGGGCGGTGGCCAAGGCTGCTGCCCGAGCGCGATGGCGGGGGCAGCGGGACTCATGACCGAAGTGAGCTGGAAGGTCTTGGAGCGAAGGGCTCGGGTCAAGCGCTCAGGTTTGGCTGGCTGGGGCGCCGCCCTCTACCCCTCAAGCACCTTGGGCGGGAGGCAGGTGGGGGTTCTGGAAATGAACCTGTGCCCCTCGTATTTTTCCTTAGAAAGCAGGCGGAGGCCCTGGCCTGGCTCCTTATATCTCCCCTTTATCTCTAAAAATTAGATGGCTGACCCAGCTCTACTCTGTGTGTGTCCTCCAACTCTATTTTGTGTGTGTACCCCTCAGAAAGTAGGAGGCAGTCCCAACTTTGCACGGAGTCTTTCCCCTTAGAAATCAGGCGGCGACGCATTCCTGGGAAAGAGTGCGTCCTCCTTATGAGTGTTCCTCTGTACAAGTCAGATAGCTTCATCAGATCAAGTCAAATGGGACTATGATCCGACCCTAGAAAGCCGGTGGCTGCTCGTCGCCTTATTTCATGTATCTCCCTTTACTTTCCCCAGTAGTTCCCTGCTGTAGCCGGTTGTCTGTGTGGCAGAAACAGAGAGACAAGGCCTCAGGTCTCGAAGTGGGTCAAGTAGAGCAGAGTTAGGGCTCAGAAAGAAGCAGTCTTCTTCCCTAGGCAAGTGGCCGGAGGTCGCTTAGTTTCCACTTGTGGCTCCCAAGCATGGCCAGGAAGGTCAGAAGATTCCAGTGCAGGCGGTTGTAACAGTTCAAGTGTCCTGAACTGACTTGTTCAAATTGCGCAGTCATGACTTTCAAGTTAACACTTGTGGCTGATAACTCCTCCGGGAGCCGATATTGAAACTTCCCTTATTCCTGGCTGGCTGGGTATAATCTTGAACAAAAACTGTGCCCATGAACAGGAAAGGTGGTGGAATGACAAGCCAAATAAGGACTTTCCCTTTTAAAGGATTGGAGAACTATATGTTATTATCGGGGACGCGGAAGGCATTGCCTGGGAAAATTAACTCTGCATTTGCATTGATATTAAGAGATTTTTTTTTTTTTTCTCAGCTAATGTGCCCCCATTATGTCTTGGGCTTTCCCTATTTATGAAGGTCTTAGTTGTCTGTTGTACATAATGACTTTTTTTTTAATTGGAGAAAGTATCTAATTTCATAAATCACATACCCAATCTTTGTTGCCAATTTCATTGTTTTTATACCTTAAAAGAAGTTCTGCATTTATTGACTTAGTGTTATAGTAAAACTACCACCTACAGAGTATGACAGAATTTTACTTTAACAAAAGTAGTCTTTAGTACATCTTAAAACCAATAGTTACTTGGAATAGTCACATGTATTTTTATTTCACACTTTTTCTTAAATTTTTTTGTGTTTGATATAGAAACATTGAGTTGACTACTAACAATATGGCTATCAGGGCTATAAAAATTGTTATTGGATTGATTATGTCTGGACAAAGAGAATAACAAGAGTTTTCTTACAGGGAACTGAGCGCTGCTCCCAACCTATACTTTTGCAACATTTCTCTTTTCCTTTAATAAGCACATACAGTTTTTCTTCTCCAGTCTTTGTTTTTTTCTGAAATGCATGTCATGACAGTAAGCTTTGAAAACCTTACTTCTCTTTTCTTAACTGAGAAAAAATTTAAGTTTTATTTAACTGTTGTTGAATGCAGAGACTTAAATCTAGTTTCATTTGCAAAGTAGTTAAATGCATATTATCAATGTTGAATATTCTATATGTTTACATCATAGTAGTAAAGAGATGCCAGTTGAAGTCATTCCTCCAAATTAATAGTTATGTTTGAGATTTAGATTCTTATGAAAACCTTATGGAGTATAGGTGATAAAATTTCTTGAGTGAATCATTTACTTTCTGTGTCATTAAAAACAATCAACTTGATTCTGTTTGTTACTTTTAGAAGAATATATAAACAGAGGTTTGTTTGAAAGTGGACTAACCTGACTGGGTATGGACTCCTATGCAGAGTTCTGAGCATTGTTACATAGTAGCATAATCACTTCACTGCACATTAGAGGATACTACTGTTATGTAATGTTTAATAAGTAGATATTATATATCTCCTGCTTCATCCATATAAGCAAATATAATTTGTCAAAGCAAAGAAAATCAAATTTTCAAGTCATAAAAGAGAAAATAAAATTATAATAATCCTCAATTCTGCCTTTGTTGCATACTGCATCATGTTAATGACTGCTCACACTGCTTTCAATTAATCTAACACTGATTGCTTCTAACCTTCACTAACCAGTTTTAAAATTGCTGTAGTTTAGCCTGCGATGCTTGTGATTAGAGTCAACAATTTGAAATGGCCAGCTCACCTGATGCAGTCGTCTCCTCTCCGCCAGCTTTCTTAAGGTCTGGTAAGTGTGTAGGCCCCAAAAGGGTCACTTGGTAATTTTAAATACCTATGTTTCTGAAGATTGATGTTACCATAATATATTGGTTTGGTTTTATTTTCTCTTTGGTGGGCCCAGGCCTGACCACCATTTCTGGTGGTATTAGCCTTGCATTATATTTTGAATGTGGACTGTTGTGTTTCTGTTGTGTGGGGCATGAGGACAGAGAGTGGACATTTGTAAGCCGTTTCACTAGGGGCAGTTCCTTAGTGTCTGGGAGCCTCAATTTTCAAATGGGTACATATGGTATCTTCTTAAATGATTTTTGTCCTCTTGCATAATGGAAGTAACTTTTATATATTAGAAATTTTTGGTCAACATTCCACTTATCTACTCTTCATCGATTCCCTATGGAGCAGGTATTATATATGTTTTCACAGATTGGAGGAAGACTTTCCCCCGGTTCTGAGACTGTTCTGTTTCAGGGCCATGTGCTTTGTGCTTTATCCTGTGGCTTCCTGATGTAAGGACTGGAGGATATGTTGGCACAGTGGCTCTTAGACTGTTGTGTTGATGTACCCCTTTGAGAGCTAGGTGAAAGCTGTGGAATTGCTCCTCAGAAGAGTACACATGATTTTGAAAACAATTTCTATGTAGTTCATGGACCCAGGAATGACCATGAATAATTCTCATCAGGAACCAGGCCTTTGGATGTATTCAGTCTCACTTTACAGAAGAAGACACAGGTTTTGTTAAGTGGCCGCATAGCTGAAATGAAGACAGAAGCCTTTAGGACCCTTTTCTGTATGTTTTGACCTACCTTGGGCCATTTAAAACCTGTTATATGTCAGAACACTCTGGAAGAAGCCTGTTGGTAAGAGGCTACTTTGTCTCTAATGTGTTTTAAGCAGAATATTCAAACCTCAGGAGTCATTAATAGCAAATGTAAGATGAGGACCCCCAAACAGTGAGAGTGAAAGCTCCTTGGCTTCACCATAGCCATTCAGAAGTGGTTCCCCCTTCATTTCCATTTGTGTTTGGCAAGATGAGGAGGAAAATCTTGAAGAAAAGAAATAGGAAACAGAGTAAGGAAGACTCAAACAGGAGAAAACAAAACTTACACTTTAAGGAATAAAAATAATTCCTGTCTTTAGTTGTCATGAGCTAAATAACAAAATATTGTATGTAACAATGCCAGTTGATTTCTGATGGCACTTTTGAATTAAAGGAACAGGAGGACATGTATCTCTGGACTGCGTTTTCTTTCTTTGTAAGCACCAGACTTTGTTTTTTGTCTTGGCTTTCCTACTAAGTGTTCGTTGGGTTTTTAGCACTAACTAAGTCATTCAGTAGGAATGGGAAAATAGAATGTTAAGATATACTTTTATGCATTAATAGTACTGGAAATTTCTAAACTTAAGAACTGTGCTTTAACATCACATCGAGTGTTTGAAGGCATATACAAAAATCTTTTCTAGTACCATGCCATTAAATTGAAATTGAATGCACCAAGAAACAAAATAGAAAAATACCGAACTTCGATGTTATAATTCATTTTAAAGAATGATTCTTTATGAATTACTTT